ATTTAAGCCTGTAGACTCACTATCAACTGCATTAAGGTCTTCATATCTGGATTTTTTCGAGCAGTGAAGTCTAAACCTGAAGCTCCTCAGTCTGACATCTCAATTAGTTTGAGATCTGTACCCTCAGCCCCAGCTGACCTGACCACATTTTCTTCCATTAATCTGTTGATACTCCAGGACGACCCCAAAACCCAACCCAACACACTTCTCAACAGCCTGGACAGAAATCACACTCCAGCATTGAAACTGTTCCAAAACTCCACAAGCACAATCACACCACCTGCCAAAGTCCTGATTAGCCTAATTCCAGCACTCACCAATAACAGTCTTTCCCAATTTTGGCTTCTCAAATGGTTACTAAAGCTATCAGTCGTCCGGTTGTGTTATTCTCCTGTGTGTCGTTAGAGTTGATTTGATTTCTCTCTCTCTGGCGGGAAACTAGGACGCCATTAGGTTGTGAATGTTACATTTGGATAGTGGTCAATATTCAGTGTTTCTCACTGGCGAGAGAGAGTCTGCTCACTAAAAATCGGTGCTAAATGTTAAATAGTGGAACCTAGTCAACATGAAATGAAAATTGGATTGGGAAGATAGGGTTTTTAATTGCGTTCTTTATACAAGTTCCTGGTCTTGTTCTGCAAAATGTAACAACTTGCTCCATATCTTAATTTTTCAAGTCACTAAGGCTTTCAGCGGTCCAGTGGTGCTTGGTCTTTTGTAACTTTGTGTACTTAAAGGGCTTAAAATTACACTGTTAGACTTCTCAAGGTTTTTTCCGAAATACATGAAGTATGTGCTAAAACATGGAGCTGGCCCAGAAGCAGCTTGATAATGTTGTAATGATGGAAATATGAGGTGACTGCTGAATTATCCATACTGTGTGACTGAACTTATGCTTTTAATGGAGCAAGACAAATCTTTGTAATGAATGATATGAAGCAAATCAGTGAATACATGTTTTTGTGTTATGCTGACTATATTGGCTTATCTCAGATCAACCCAATCTCATGAAAGTGTGTATAAATAGTACGCCAAATAAAAACGAAAACTCGTGGTATTGATACGCAAAAATGGACTTTGGCGTATATATGCTACGTGATGGGTAGGTTTAGGGTTGTGGGGTAGATGCGTATCATATGTACGCGAAAACTGCGTATCATATGCACGCCAACAAATTTCGTATCATATGCACACGAAAACTGCGTATTATATGCACGCCAAACACATGCGTATCATAGGCACACCAAAGTCAATTTTTGCGTATCAATACCACGAGTTTTCGTTTTTATTTGGTGTACTATTTATACGCATTTTCATGAGACTGGGCTCCTCAGATAGATAAATCAAACAAAGACATGCCATATTTCACCCCAAAAAGAAATGGAATAAAAAAGAATTGTGTTTGGCATAAAGAAAATTAAGAATGAAATTGAAAATTCTGTCATTAATTACTCACCCTCATTTAATTCCAAACCCATAAGACCTTTGTTCATCTACACAAATGTTATGATGAAATCCGAGAGCTTTCTGATTCTGCATAGACAGCAACGCAATTGAAACGTTCCCAAGCCCAGAAAGGTAGTAAGGACATCGTTAAAATAGTCCATGTGACATGAGTGGTTCAACCCTAATGTTATGAAGCGATGAGAATACGTTTTGTGCACAAAGAAAACAAAAATAATATGTGTCACGGTACTGTTGTGAATGCACGTCGAAGACTGACATGGAAGAGAAGAAATTGTTGAATATAGTTGTTATTTTTGTTTTCTTTGCACACAAAAAGCATTCTTTTAGCTTCATAAAATTAAGGTTGACCTACTGATGTCACATGGACTATTTTAACGATGTCCTTACTACCTTTCTGGGCCTTGAACGTGTTAGTTATGTTGCTGTCTATGCAGGGTCAGAAAGCTCTCGGATTTCATCAAAAATATCTTAATTTGTGTTCTAAAGATGAATGAACGTCTTACGGGTTTGGAATGACATGAAAGTGACAGAATTTTCATTTTTGGGTGAACTAACCCTTTAAATCTCATTTACATTTTCACATATTCATACTTGGCACATCATGATCGGTTATAAGACAGCTTTGTTATCTTCACACACCATGTTTCAGTGAGCAAAGGCACAAATGAGAGAGTCAAGAGTAAAAACAGGCCCACTTTTCAGTCAACTATATCTATGTTTTCATCACCCTGCTTTTATACGCATTTTGAAGTATCGCATCAGAAACGAGTGATGGAAATGTTGAATTTTGAATAAAAATGCCTTAATTCGCAAGTTTTTATGCTTGCTCGAGGTGGTTTTTGACTTGTGCGAAAAAGGGTTAACGCGAATAATGGGAGATGGAAATGCATTTTGCGAATAAATTCCTCCAAGCACATCAAAAAAGTCATGTGACTTTGTGCTAAGGGACGGCAAATCCTGACTAACCAGCGGACCGATCTTGTTCCACAGCATCTGGAATGTTGTTATGGTCATTCGGAAATGCCCGAGCAATGTTTGTCATCAAAGTATTTCTGTATAATTGCCTCCCAGAACTGTTACACGACTGCGTTCCCAAACAGCAGGCATCCACCTCAGAAAGCAATAACCGCATTCATTGTATTTCGTCTGCTCGTTCTGAGGTGCAAGTTATTATATAGGAAAATTATTATATTCAGTAGCTTCTCCTACTTAATTATTATAGTGCCAGTTTATCAGGAAGTGACGATTTTGTTCTCTTTGACTCGTTGGATGGAAACGGTGCTTGTTTGCAAATGTTCAAGTCAAGTCAAGTCAAGTCTGCTTTATTGTCAATTCTTCCACATGTACAGCACATACACACAGAGAATTGAAATTGCGTTACTCTCAGACCCTTGGTGCATACAGATAACACTAACAGTAGAACATAAATACAGATATACAGATTAAATATAAAATACAACTATACAAATAAGGTAAAATGTAAAAAAAAAAATATATAAAAAAAAAAAAATATATATATATATAAAGCAGCACACGGCAGATAGAGCGCAAACCAGTGAAGTAAACAACAGTGCAGATATAATGATTTGTAGTGCAAACTGTTGTTGAGCCATGTTTCCGTGAACACAAAAACACAACAGTCACAAAAACACATCAGTCTCACAAAACACAATGTTTTATGCGATATTACAACACTATCTCACAACCAATTCGTACGTATTTTACGAGGTGGCTAATTCGAACGAATTTGTATGACCTCACTTGTACGATTTTGTATGATTTGTCTAGACCCCAGTGATGGGCAGGTTTAGGGGCGGGGTTAGGTGTAGGTCATCCGTACAAATTCATACGAATTGCACAACTCTTAAATACGTACGATTTAGCAAAAAATCGTATGAATTTGTACGAGTGAGGTCGTACGAATTCGTACAAATTAGCCACCTCGTAAAATATGTACGAATTGCCGTGAGATCGGGCTGGATATTCCAATTTTGTGCGTAAGTTAAATTTGTAACTTTGGATGAAAACCCGGCTTATGATTTACATTTTTGTGTCCCTTCTTCAAAACATCTTTTTTTGTATTCCACAAAAAGAAAGTCAGGTTTAGAATGACATGAGGGTTAGTAAATGATGACAGAATTTTCATCTATGTGTGAACTATTCACTTAAACCCAAGAGCCTTTAAGTAGTAGGCAAACTCACTGAAGTTACTGTAGTCATCTCTCTTTCTCCAACACTCTTAAAAGCCAAGATTACAAAAAGTGTTTTTCACAGCAAAAGCCATAGAAGAACCAATTAGGGTTCCCCTGATAACTTTTCAGTAAACAGTTTTTAAAAGATCAGTTTGTTTCTTAGTGTTAAGAACATTTGCATAATCTAAAGAACCTTTTTTTTATAATATAAAGAACCTTTTTGTGGAATGGAAAGATTCCATAAATGGAACCACAAATGGCAAAAAAAAACAACTTTATTTTTAAAAGTGTACAAGTGTACAATGTCGTTCTATTTGACATCTAATTGGCATTCATGAGTGCAGAAAGAGTGGAATTCAATAAAATTTTGAAACAGGGGTATTTAATTAGACCGACATTAACATTTCCATTTCATTACCATCTATCACACAACATTATTTCCTTTTGCAAGCGGTGCAGGTTTCCATGTTTTTTCCTCTTTCATCATCTCACAGTATGCAGTCACCGGCCCGCCAGCTCACAACACGCACCACACTCTCACTGAATTCTCATTAATCGTCCCTTTACAGCGAGTCGCACAGGAGGAGGCGGCGAATCGCTACACTTGTGTTCCACACATTAGTGGACTATGTCGATACACTCTTGAATAAATACATGCTAGAATGATAAAAGCAAGTTGTTTGATGTGTGAGGAGTTTTAAGAGCCACTTAAAGATGCTTGATGATAAAACAAGTGTTTTTTCTTATTCAGAGGACATCCTTTAGAACCAGGTAAAGTGCGTTTGGAGAGAGTTCTCTTAGGAAATAGTCAATAATGAGAAAACGTGGTATTTCTTTGCATTAACATGCTTATTAAAAAAAAACCTGTGGCACCACAACTACTGTAGACGTAAGTATAGTTACAGTAAAATCCTGTAAGATACAGATATAATTGTACATATGTCATTTTTAATAGATCAGGCTTCTTTTTCCACTGGCTCCAAATGTGAGGCAATAATTGAAGTTTTGAAAGGTGTTTGCTGTTGCGTTTGAACAGCTCCAGATGTTTCTACTACAGTGTCGTTATTTTACAGATCTTCTGAATTTGAAAGAATCATTACTAAGATGTTCTGTTGTTCTGGTTCTTGCAAAAAGTGTTTTGCAGTTTAAGAGTTTGACACATAAAAATCTCGTCAAAAATCCCTTGATAGTCCTCCAACTGAAATAATCAAAGAATAAAAGGAAAATGATCATGCAAATTAGTTGTCACAACATGCTTTAAACCTTTATTCCAAATCGTTCCTCATCTGAATCATTCATCTAAATATACAGTATGTCCTCTCGTCTCTTTCTCTCTCTCAGATGGTGGCATTAGAGAGGCAGGTGTTTGATTTCTTGGGCTACCAGTGGGCTCCTATCCTTGCAAACTTCTTCCACATCCTGGTTGTCATCCTGGGCTTGTTTGGCACCATTCAATATAGACCTCGCTACATTGTGGTGGTAAGTGCTGCTTTAAATTCATCTTTACTATAATGACCTTGTAAATCTCTCAAAAACTGTTCGGGTCACATTTTAATCACCAAAATTAAAATGGAAGAAATGAAATTTGGCTATATTACTTTTGAATTTGTCTTCAGTTTTGATTATTCTCAGTTGTCATTCTCATTAGATTCTCATCTCATGAATATGGAAGCTTGTTTCTGCCATGGAATAAAAAAGTATTTTTTTCCCCTCACAATTCAGACTTTTTCTTACAAGGTTATATCTCTGAATTCAGATGTGTTTCCTCAGAATTGTGAGTATATAACTCATAACTGTGCTTATATAAACTCACAATTGAGAGGAAAAAAAAACAGAATTGTGAAATTAAAATGTCACAATTACCTTTTATTTTTTATTCTGTGGCGGGGAAAAAAAATGTAGAATAATTGTGAGATAAAATGTTGCAATTACGTTTTTTGTTATTCTGTGGCAGAAATGGCCTTCCATACATAATAATAAATCTTGTAATGTGAATAAAACATAAATTACAAAAAATTCAAAAATATAGAGTTGGTGTTTTTTTTGCGTTAAGATAATAGGAAGTGTCACAAAATGCAATATGCACAAAAAGAATGCCCCAAAAGAGGTTTCATTTTCATCAAAATGTTATTTTTCATTTTGTTCATTCTGAAATATGACCCAGACATGTTCTTGGCAGGTTTTGATAGGTTTCTCCAACCATGCTAGCTAAAAATCTGTTTAATAACAGTGTCAGTTTGGATCTGTTTCTTTATGTCAGACTGTTTTAGAAATGCTTATATGCAAATAGTGTTTGCGGCACATGCAAATCTGCTTACTGTTGATCAAAGACAGCAGGCCTCTGAAGCAGAATTGAATGCAGCCCTTTGCTGATAATGGACTCTGGCATGCGGCCCTGCAGACACTGGACTAGTCTTATACTTTGACACATTGTATGGCATTTTAATCCCCTAAATCTGCAACTAATTACCATGAATTAAATTATTAGAGTCCAGCTCCCTTCAGTTCCACACTGGGTCAATCCATGATGCAGCTTCACTTCAACTTCAACAGGATTATCAAGCCTTTAGTTCAGTTGATGAGACGGGAAGCAAGCTATTTTTAGATTTTTTAAATATTCATACAGATTTTTAATTTTATTTATTTTTTTTATAACCAAGAGTCTTCAGTTTACATCATGGCTATTTTTCGAAATAGCATAACAGACTATTCTTATTATTGCTACATTATAATGTATAATTCATATCTGAATGTAGCATACTGTGCACAGTTTGCACTTTTTCTGCATGCTTCGAAAAACGAGATGGCCAACTAAATTTGCCAAAATGTGTATATTGTGTAGAAGAATGTAAATGAGCTAGAAGTAACATCAGCCACAGTAAAATATCTATTTTGATTCATTATTTAATCAGACTGTCAGAAGTCATATCATTTTTTAATAAAATGGAATTAAATATGGTTACTTTTATTTATTTATTCAAAGATGGTAACTAGACGCTGTGAGAAACATAAAGTCTGTGAATACTGTTGTTTCTAACTTTTATCATTGCAAAATGCAGTTTTTCCACTAACTATTAAAATATACATTGTATGTTGCTCATTATGCTCTAAAAACTAAGTTAGTATTCCATTCTAATTATTATTTGCATTATTTTCATATGCATTCTGCTATAGTGTTTTGCTAATATTAGGGGCATTTTCATTCTTGATAGCATTGAAATTGATATAAAGATTATAAGACATAAAACTGAGAAGATGAGTTATTGACATTTTGGTCTTATTGCCAGAAATAGAAAAACTGTAAATATTAAATTGGGAATATCTGCTAAATATGTATGTAGTAAACTCTTAGAAGTACATGAGCATATAAATACACTTTTTATCCAAAGTCACTTACATTTGCACTCAATGTAGACATTGTATCTACAAGCATAGCCTCAAAATATAACAAACATGGTTACAAGCCACATAATGAAGTCTTTAAGACATTTGTCTTCACAAAAATTTGAATAATTTTACCTCCTAATGTGTATAAAACTCTGAAGCCATTGAATGGGAGTATACAGTAACATCTTAATTATCAATTATTTTGCACTGGACTTTATCAGTAATACTCTTAACAACACTGAGTTGCTCATTACACATTAGATTTACACATTTGATTACACCAAAATGTGATGATAATTCAATACAAACACAAAATTCTCACAAAGAAATAGAGAAGAAATATTAAGCTAATCAAAGTGACAAAAAGTTGAGAAGCCAAGAATAGACAAAGGCGTGAGAAAGTGTTGAAGACTGATAGATGAGCCTGGAAACAAGACTTGCGGTGCTGAGACTCCTGGGAATGGTGAGGAGTATTGCTCAGGCTTGTGTCACTGTCATGTGTTATAAAGACTCATTCTGCTTCACAGCAGCTTAAAATGACCCCAGTCACCATATAATGCTGATTTGACATGTGAATCATGCTGTCTGAGGTGCATCGTTTCCCTTCAAGGCATTCATCTTCTGAGAGAGAGACATATTAAAGCCTTAGTCTTGCTGACCTGCTTGTATTTTTTTTTAGTCATAAATGGATACGGTGTCCTGTCAAACAAACTGCCAGTTTTAACTTTAAAGGAGTATTCTGAGTGAAACACAACTTGACCTGTCCCTTAAATTTGAGATTACTCAAATTTATATAAATATAAATTTATATAAACCCATAAATTATATACTTTAAAGGGGTCCTATTATGCTCTTTTACAAAGTCTTGATTTTGTTTTGCGGGTGTACTAGAACAGGCTCTCATACTAGGTTGTTCGAAAAACACATTATTTTTCACATATTTTACATTATTACAACACCTCTCTCCCCAGTCTGGCATGAACGGCTCGAATAGTTCCTGTATCAAATGAAGGCCCGCCTTCTTAAATACGAAATGTGCTATGATTGGTTAGTTGGGCCAGTGTGTGCTGTGATTGGTTTACAAGAGGCAAACTCCATCCATAGAAATTAAGATTTCAATACAGTGTTTTGTGATTGGTTAGCTGGGCCAGTGTGTGCTGTGATTGGTTTACAAGAGGCAAACTCCATCCATAGAAATTAAGATTTCAATACAAATGTGTGTTTTGTGATTGGTTAGCTGGGCTAGTGTGTGCTGTGATTGGTTAGCTAATAAAAGATCTCCTTTTGAAGTGAACTTTGAACTTTGTAACTTTGCAGAACTTTTTTATGCTCAAACAGCAACATGACAGACTAACTAAAGTTGAAAAAGTGAAAAAGCATAATAGCACCCCTTCAAAAGTTAATTATTTGATCTGTAAAGGTTTCAGTTCATCTTTGTTTTCATCTTTGTGCGTGGATCTTAATTTCTGTGGATGGAGTTTGCCTCTTGTAAACTTTTGCAACTTTGCTTCATTTTCAACTTTGTGAGAAACTCAGTTAACCTGTCCAAAATAGAAAAATCCTCAAACAAAGTAGTCTTCTGATCTTTGTATAATTTTGGAGGAAATCCCAGTGGAAAACAGTCTTCTTCAGTTTGGAGAAAATTGCTCTATAAAGTCGTCTCAAGCTGGTCTTCCGTAAGGCACTGACAGGAAACCTGAGATCCATTTTTACTACTGTGCAGCATAGACTTCTGTATTCTCTGTCAACTCCCCATGAGAACAATCTGCTTCGTGCTATTGACAAAAATGAACGCTCATTTCTTTTTCCCTTTCTGGGAGTTTATATACCAGCCGGCTGAGGTTGGAGCGCTAATTCAGATTAGCATTTCAATGGGATTTATAGGTTTGTAAAATCCTAATTGATTGTGTTTGTGTGTGGTAAACAACAGTACAAACGACTAGGAAGAGACCATTCAAATGAGATGTTCTGCTATAAAAAGAAGATAAAATCAGAACAAAGATACAAATCTGGAGATGAACGATAAGAGCCTGTGTAAAAGAAATGTGCTTTTCTCAAGACCAAACAAGCTCACTGCGGATGTTTTCAAGCATCTACTCGACTTCTGTTTCCCATATACAACAGCTCTGATGTTACTGCTACTGGAACGGTTTGAGTTTTAACTTGTTCTAGATGGGTAGTTGCCAGCTGTCCCTTGAATAAAAGTTGTCCAATGTGGTAGTACAGTGATAGTATCAGGTGGTAATACCATGGTACTTTAATATATACTATGGTACACTCTTAAAAATAAAGGTGCTTCACGATGCCAAAGAAAAACTGTTTTTGTTTAAATGGTTCCATAAAGAACCTTTAACATCCGAAGAACCTTTCTGTTTCACAAAAGGCTCTTTGTGGTGAAAGAAGGTTCTTCAGATTATAAAAAGGTAAAAAAGAGATGGTTCTTTAAAGAACCTTTGACTGAATGGTCCTTTGTGGAACCAAAATTGGTTCTTCTATGGCAAAATTACTTTTTCTGTCAAGTTTACAGGCATTTCCTTCAACCCTAAAACACAACAAATTCAAAATACAGGTAAAATACCTGAGAAAAATCAATTGAGTTTTTTTTTCACATTAACAAAGTGCATTTGTGTCATATTTTTTACAGAAGTTTCTTATACTGTGGCCACATTAGCGATATTTCATTGAAATTTAGGGGACAAACAAAATACATTGTCAATAGTGTAAAAAGTACAGCTCACACAGAAGTCACTTTCAAACAAATCAGCTTTCAGGTTGGTCAGCGCTGCAAATTCATGTGATCAACTTGAACATGAGCGAAATCTGCTTTGGAACATTTTCACAAAATTGCCAAATGTGCAGATTCCTATTGAAATGGGTGGATTTTGCCCGTGAAGTTTCATCGAGCAACAGTAAATGTGACCATACCAGTGTAGCCTATGTTTGAATGTTGGAATGAATTGTTGGAGTAATGAATTGTCCATCTTTTTGACAGTATACTGTGTGGACAGCGCTGTGGGTGGCCTGGAATGTCTTTATCATCTGCTTCTACCTGGAGGTTGGAGGTCTATCAAAGGTAAGAGAGATTCCTGCCTAAAGTTACACATGGGTCAGCCGTCAGTGTTTAAGAGTACGAGGCATTTTTAATTACCCTGTTTTACAGCTAAATGGGGCAGTTTATGATGTTTTAACAGACTGTTTAAAACATTATTTAGAAGTGCCAGAGCTTTGTGTCTTACACTTAGGTTTGCATTGAACACACCAGAAACTGGCACATAAAACAGGGCTTCTTAGTAGAGGAAATGAATTCAGATGAAAGCCTTTTGGAAAGCAGAAGTTGTGTTATCCCCAACCCATCCCATGATACACTTCTGTCTACATGTGCTGACAGGTCATGGACTCAAACACTCAGCCCCTAGTGTGTTAGTACAGTGAGAAACAAGCTGGATGTATAATTGACACATTCTCCTCTCTCTGTGTGTGCTTGTTTATGACTCCTGCTTGGCCAGTTTCCTGGACTCAGATTTCTTGTTCCCACAATGAAAAGCTCTTATCCGCTTTCAGAAGGTGGAGTGAGATTGCACAAGAACATCTTAAAGTCTGCATGCAGATGCATGAGGAGTAAATCTGGTACATGTATAATATAATGAGCTGCTTTTCCACAATTGTTGCAGCTGCATGGGACAGAAATAAATTACATATTAAAATATATTCATATAGAAAAGAGTTGTTTTGAATTGCAGTAATATTTCACAATATTGCTGTTTTCACTGTATTTATGATCAAATAACTGCAACCTTGATGAACACGAGACTTCTTTCAAAAACATTAAAAAATCTTACCAAATCCAAACTTTTAAACAGTAGTTTATTCATTTGTTTCTTATATATCTTACTTTGAAAAATCTCAACAGGCTTTTTCTTATAGTTTGAGAGCTTGGTGTCTTAGTGTCTCTTGAATTTTAATGGCTCAGCAGCCAATAATTCATACCACAGCACATAATGCGTTCAACACAATCCACCCTTATATTTGTATCAGCTGTATTTAATGTTGTTTGATTCATGTATTTATTTGAATCTTTTTAGCTTTGTTCTTTGCTCATAAGAGAGTTGTGTAATTGGACTCATGGCCTTGGACGTTAACAACAAAAGATATGGGAAGTATTTTCTGCGCTTATTTATTAATTTATTTTATGCTTATGTGCTCAGTCACATTTTATGCTACCTTGATTTTTGTGGGGGTTTTTTTGTCTTTCATCCTCATCCTCTTCTTCCTCTGTCTCACACAGTCATGCTCCGTCACTCCCTCCCTTTTCTTTACTGTGCTGTCACAGGTGGGACACCCTTCCCCCAAACCCCCCCTCACCATAACGTCAATGCATGAATATTCATGAGCTGATTCAGACAGATCTGCTGTCCAGAAAGCAGCAAGTTTGCGCATTGATCCTTTCTTTTTAGTCTCTGTGTGTTTATATGTGCGTGTGTGTCCTCCTGCTGTCCATATGTAGCGGTGAGGGAGCGCTGTGTGTCCATCTGTCAGGTTAATGCCGGAGTCCGACCCTCTGCCACCTGCTCCCCATTATTCAGCCTTTTTCATGCAACCCCTGCATTAACACGGCCCACCACAAGCCTCAATGAAACACCTCAAAATATGTATATTGAGTATATAGCTCACTGATGTCTCTACTGTCATACAGCAAATGACACGCCATATGATAATATCATGCTGCACTGAGGACCCCCTACTGTAAGACTGATTATGATTAGAATGAGTCTGAATGAAACAGTCTGACATTAGATTCTATGTATCTGTCTGTCTGTCTGTCTCTCTGTCTGCCGTCTCGCAGTGTTTATCAAATCTGCCTATCTGTTTGTCTTGTAATGTTGATCATATCTGTCTATCTGTCCGTCAGTCCGTCAATATGTTTATAGTGTCTGTTTGTCTGTCTCTCTCTCACACAGTGTTTATCATGTTTTTCTGTCTGTCTCAGTGTGTTTATCATGTCTATCTATCTGTCTGTCTTGCAGTGTTAATCATGTGTGTCTGTTGTATTGCAGTGTTTATCATATGGTTCTCATGATGATAGTGATAAACGGTCTATGTCAGTGTCTCACAATGTTTGTCATGTCTGTCTGTCTCTCATTGTCTGTCTTACAGTGTTTATCATATCTGTCTGTCTGTCTGTCTTGCAGTGTTTATCATGTGGTTCACATGATAAACTGTCTCTGTCAGTGTCTCACAATGTTTATCATGTAGGTCTGTCTATCTTGTGGTGTTTATCATGTCTTTCTGTCTCATAGTGTTTCTGTCTGTCTCGCAGTGTTTGTCTGTTTCTATTGTTTGTCTGTTTGTCTCATGTTGTGTTTATCATGTTTGTTTGTTTGTCTTGCATTGTTTATCATATCTGTCTGTCTCCCAGTGTTTATCATGTATGTCTCTTGCATAGTTTATTATGTCTGTCTGTCTCCCAGTGTTTATAATGTCTTTCTGTCTCCCAGTGTTTATCATGTATGTCTCTTGCATAGTTTATTATGTCTGTCTGTCTCCCAGTGTTTATAATGTCTTTCTGTCTCCCAGTGTTTATCATGTATGTCTCTTGCATAGTTTATTATGTCTGTCTGTCTCCCAGTGTTTATAATACCTGTCTGTCTTATAGTGTTTATCATGTCTATTTCAGTGTTTATCATGTCTTTCTGTCTCCCAGTGTTTATTATGCCTGTCTTTCTTGCATTGTTTATCATGTCCGTCTGTCTCCCAGTTAATCATGTCTGTCTGTCTGTCTCCCAGTGTTTATTATGCCTGTCTTTCTTACAGTGTTGATCATGTCTGTCAGTCTCCCATTGTTTGTCATGTCTGTCAGTCTCCCAGTATTTATCATGTCGGTCTGTCTTGCATTGTTTATCATGTCCATCTGTCTCCCAGTTAATCATGTCTGTCTGTCTCCCAGTGTTTATCGTGTCTGTCTGTCTGTCTGTTTGTCTCGCAGTGTTTATCATGTGATTCACATGATAAACTGTCTGTCAGTGTGTCACAATATTTATCATGTCTGTCTCTCTTGCCATGTTTGTCTGTCTCTCTGTCTTTCTCTCTTTGTTTATCTGTCTGTCTCGCAGTGTTTATCATGTCTGTCTGTCTCTCATTGTCTATCTGTCTGGTAGTGTTTATTATGTCTGTCTGTCTCTCATTGTCTATCTGTCTGGTAGTGTTTATTATGCCTGTCTGTTTTAAATTATATTTATAATGTCTGTCTGTCTCACAATGTGTTTATTAGGTCTGTTTGTCTCTCTGTCTCACGATGTTTATCACGTCTGTCTCTCTTAGTCTCGCAATATGTTTATTATATCTGTCTGCCTGTCTGTCTGTCTGTCTCGCAATATTTGTTATACTGTATCTGTCTATCTGTCTGTCTCTCAATGGGTAGGGGTATTTAAATAACTATTCATTGTAGTTCTACTTGCTTGAATTACAATTCTGCTTCATGTTTGCTATATAAATTCAAATTTATTTTAGGAATTGAACTAAGTGTAATTTAAACATTCTCAATTCAATTCTGAATGCTGCAGTGTGCTGGTATCCATGAAATGCAGGCAAAATATGGGAAATGAGGCAGTGCATCCATGTTGCTGTTTAACTGATCACACTGTCAATATGATAGTGTCCACCTATGATATTCAAACACATGCATAAATGAGTATGAGTGATTCAAACCGGTGCAAATGGACAAATTAAATAAGCAACTCATCTACTTAGATATCTCTTTTGGATACAAATGAATCAAACATTTTTTAGCAGATAAATTATAAAATGCACCTCCATTCCTGTCAGCGTAAAGGGGGGAAAAGTGACTATTTTAATAATAATAATATTAATTTTAGAAGTCTACTGTGCTCATTCTTTGATCTTTAATCTTCTTGTCTTAAAGTATTTTGCTGTCATCAACAACAAAACCGCACATGAAGCTATGATGGCTGTGAGCGCTGCCATGGAAACTAATAATTCAGAAGACTCAAACCGCTCAGAGTTGTCATCTCATAATTACGATAATTCTGACACAACATGAATGTGGAATTAATCTCTCACATTCAGGTAATGGAGAACCATATTAACTCTCTGAACATGAGACATGTAGTTTCACTGAAGAGGAAAGGCATATTAAGTGCTTGGGCACTTTATGAAACGCTCTCTCTCTCTCTCTCTCTCTCTCTCTCTCTCTCTCTCTCTCTCTCTGCTTGATTGAGGTGTTTTGGTGGGGTTGTCCTCTCATGCATGGCCGCAGGCTGTGACTGTCAGTCTCACACTGTGGCTATGATTAAATACGGGACAGGACGGTCTGTATCGACCCCCTCTCTGAACACGCAAACACACGCTCTTCTCAGTGACATATAGTGACGCGTATAATGCTAATGCCTGCCGATGATGAAGGGGACAAACGCCTCTGTGTCTCCATTAGCCAGAAAGAGGTCAAGGACGAGTTCCTCTCTAATAAGCATAGGAAAGTCCATACGTTTTCATTTTGACAAGTGTCATTCATCTCATACAGCCTGAGAACTGTGTGGATTGACAGAATCCATTACATCTGATGTACACGTATCCGTGAGCGTATGAGGAACATTTGCAAAACAGACGCATAACTTTGAGGTGACACTTGTATTTCACTGCACTTTCACACATGCAGTGTTCAGGTTAAGGACTGTGTGAACAGACGCAAACATGATTATTCCCTTTATTTGCAGTAATATGTGAACTGGGAGTCAGAAATTTTTATTTTAAATGGAAAGAAATGTTGTAAGATAGTATTGCTGAACAAGCTGTTGCACAAAATGATAATAGGGCTGGGCCATATAGCTAGTAATATTGTCAGCACTTTTATGATGTTTGATATATTTCCTGATATTTATGTACTTGCTCTGAAATGCCTTTAAAGTGTTTGTTCCTTTATTTTTCTTTCCAAAATTTTATTTTCTATTTTGTCCACACGTGCATTATAGCCTATTAGATACTATCTATATATTTATGTTTTTATATATATTATTATATTTATATATTTTATTTAATATATTTTAACATACTGGTAAAAAATGTATAGCCTGAATGCACTGTAAGTCGCTTTGGATAAAAGCGTCTGCTAAATGCATAAATTATTATTTTTAAATTATTTTTAAATATATGTAGATATTTATATACATACATACGCACACACTCTATTGATTAATATTTATTTAAAAACTAATTAAAATCTATTAGTTACAAAATTAATGTTTTTCTTGTGCATCACAGAACCAAACAGCATTTTAAAACATATTACAATAGAAAACAATCATTTTTGAGAAGAAATTGTAAAAAAAGTCTTAATATTAAAAACCAGAATATTGTAAAATATTACAATTTAGTAATGTCACACTATTACTGTTATTACTGTATTTTTATCAGATAACTGCAGGCTTGATGAGCATAAGAGACTTCTCTCAAAAAAACGTAATTATTTCAAACTTTTTTTTATTCAATAATATATTGTTTTTAAAATTATTTATGTGATTTATTTGATATAATTTATTTTATTTATATAGACCAGTAAAAAAGGCATATAATAATAAATACATATAAATGTGACCTACTGACATGGTTTTAATGAAACTTAAGTGCTAAATAAAAATGTTTATGTTTATCATCATAAAATGTTTAAATCATCACAAAATTTACAATGTTGGTTAAATTTACATTGCCAAAAATACACTGTCATAAATTGCCTGGCCCTAACTGCTAGTAGATAATGTGAGAGATTATAATGTGAGAGATTTAACAACATAATGGAGATAGTGTGTGTATACAATATGTAACCACAGAAAACAATTGCTTGTGTGAATAACTAATGCATAACACACCACAATTTTACCTAATTTATCAGTTTTCATGTGTAAAATCGGTCATAAATATGACCACAAGAAATAAACAATGAACGCATATTAAAAGCGATAGTGTGCTTCTTCCATCTTTTGTATGTATACGTGTCTTTCCTCCCTCTCTCATGTCTATGGAACAGATTATTTGTCAGCTCCGGGTTCAATTATGCATGCATACTTTACAGCGCACAGCCTCTCTGTCACTCGCTCCCTCATCCTTTATATTGACATGTGGCTGAGGCTGATGACAGCTCCTCCTCTCTGTTGTTTTAGGACAGCGACCTCTTGACCTTTAACATCTCGGCACACCACTCCTGGTGGAGCGAGCACGGGCCAGGCTGTGTCCGAAGAGAGATCCCTGCCAGCGGAAACCGTAGCGCAGACGCACAGTCCTATATATCCATCATGGGCTGCCTGCTGGAGTACCAGTACATTGAAGTCCTGCACAGCGGCTTCCAAATCCTTATCTCTGTAAGTCACTCACTCCAAACACATACACACACACAAACAAATATGCCATGTCATGCAGAAAAGCTAAAACACTCAATAAGTGTTCCTTCAATAGTCCAAAAGCCCTGTTTTTACTCTAGTTTATGGTCTTCACGCACTATATTTAGACTTACTATATGTGTATGTCTGCTACATAGCATAACTAAAAGCGTCCCATAATGCACGTTTTTTCCAGACACGCTTCCATCCAAATGGTGCTTTTTCATTACTGTAGGAAATCATTGGCAGTCTCTCTACACTTAACCAGTCCTTTAAAGCCACAGCAGACTAAAGTGTAGCCTGCACACACCGTACATGTGTAAAACGCCCCTGCCTGAGTACTGAAGCCCTGCTGTTGTGTTGAAGCGCGGCTCCAGGGTTAGTTGAGTAAACTCAATGGATTATAATCAGCAGGCAGCAAGCAGAAAAACTGTGAGCTCGTTTTCTGAAAAGGGATTTGTTTTATTGACTTAAATGCGCTGTAGATAATGACCTCCAAAAGTATTTGGACTTGGCCACACTTATAATTTCTGAATGTTATTGTATTAGATACAAAAACCAAAATATTAAACCAAGTGGCATCTGCAAACACCAGTGCAATATATAATATAATATAATATAATATAATATAATATAATATAATATAATATAATATACAATATTAGGGCCAAATCGAATAATCAATTGTCAAATCGATTAATCACGATTAATTAATATATATTACATATATATTTCTTAAATATATACATGTGTGTGTATTTATATATTAGTATACACAGTACACATACATTATGTAAACACAAACATTTATTTTGGATGTGATTAATCGATTTGACAGCCCCATAATATAATATAACATAACATAACAAGCATAACATAACATAACATAACATACAATTTAAAAGGTTGGGGGTCCATTGTTTTAAGAAATTAATACTTTTTCAGCAAAGATGCATTAAATTGATCAAAAGTGACAGTAAAGACATGTATGTTTTTACAAAAGGTTTGTATTTCAAATAAATGTGAGCCAAACTGGTTCAGTGTAGGTTAGGAGTGTTGGAAGCTTATTCAGGGTGATGATTATCTGCTCATGCTCAAACAATGAACTGATAACTTCACGGTGAGAGTTGAACAAAGTGGCCTGCAGGAAGTGGGAGCTTAAACACACTCCAGTCAAGTTCCTACAGGCTTCTTCAATGGGAATGCAGAGATTAGTGAGAGGGAATCAGATCTTTATCTCCAGTGCCCGAAGTACTCAGCTTGTGGTCTTGTCACCACAGTTTGAAAATGAAGTACTAAAATGCTCAGACAAATGAGAAGATGGCTAAAGGGCCATGTGAATCTCTCAAAGAGGTTTGAATGAATTAATAAATAAATGAATAAATAAATAAATAAATAAATAAGTTTATTATTGCATTATCATTGCAGAAGAAAAATGACTGTATTGAAGAAAAAATACTGTAATGGAATCTTGCATCTTAAATGTGTTACTGTATCTTAATTGCTCTAAATCGTTTTTTGTTATTCAGTATATAATTATTATTATATAATTTATATTATAATTAGTATTATGAATTCAGACTTCTTGACTAAATAATTTTATGATCCACTGAAAAAAATAATAAAAAATATACGTATATTTACTAGTGCTGTAAAACGATTAATCGTGATTAATCGCATCAAAAATAAAAGTTTTTGTTTACATAATATATGTGTGTACTGTGTATATTTATTATGTATATATAAATACACACGCATGTATACATTTCCGAAAAAAATTTTTTTCATATATTAAATATATATTTATATATAATATAAATTACATGAATATAAATATAGACATGTAAATACAAATATTTTCAAAATATATACTGTATGTGTGTGTATTTATATATACATAATAAATATACACAGTACACACACATATATTATATAAACAAACTTTTATTTTACACTAACTAACTAACTAACTAAATAAATAAATATATTTGGGAGAAATATGGGTGGTGTTAGTGGGCAACATTGGGAGAGAGAGGTTTGTCACTTGTGACAAATTGTTTTGTTGCTCAGGATTGAGGGCAAACGATAGAGCAAGCGAGTCGGGCCAGATGCTTCATAAACATTTCTGAGACGTGTGTGTGTGTGTATCTTCAGACTTTAAACTAGGTCACTATCAAAAAGACTTCTGCTGTAGTGAATAGTCACGTTCTCATGCTTCTGAGAACTTCGTCACAGGAGGACAGTCAGAGAGTAGAGCAGGACACACACCTGAGACGACAAGTGAACAACTGAAAGAGTCATTAGCAGAGCTTCATGTAAATCCCTCCCTCTATGACAACTGAGAGGTGCGTATGTGAGAGCACCATCTACTTTCCTCATTAGTGTAACTCAGGGGGAGCTACCTGTGCGGAGAACTCATAAACATCGCCCTTCAGATGAGACCCGTTCTTCTGTTGTTCATTCTTCAGCATCCTTCTTCTTTCTGGGATTACACTTTTAGCTCTCAATGACTGATTTCATTTTTTTTACCACTTTGGTCTGCCGTGATTACTTTTCTTTAAATATCTGTGCACAAATGCAGTTATTTATGAGGACTAGTTTGGCATGATGATTATATTATATTATATTATATTATATTATATTATATTATATTATATTATATTATATTATATTATATTATATTATATTATATTATATTATATTATATTATATTATATTATATGCTGTAAGTGTGTTTGCGTGTGTGTTGCAGCGAGAGCACTTTTGTGCAGTGTTGTTGAGAGTGCTCTGAATCAGATGTGATAGGGCTGTGAACTGAAGGAGAGAGAGAGAGAGACATCAGAAGTGCTGTTTACGGAGTCTGTGTGTATGTGCTGGACTAATGTTCTGTCACAGCAGGGTGACTTTGGCACATAATTACCCTGTCAGACATCATGTTCATGTGGTGGGTCGAAGCATTAGGTTTTTGTGATGTGTGTCCGTCTTTCAGACATATATTCACAGTTTCTGGGTTTGTATTACTGCAGTCTCTCTTATTATTTTTTTTCTCTCCCTTGGCGGGGAGTTTTTGGACTGATGCTCCTGCTGGTGGTCACTTGTAAAGTAGTAGTATACTTTACATCTAAAGGAGTACTTATTATGGAAATAATATACATTATATACTAAAGTGTAAATTGAAGTTAATATTTTTGGACACACACAAACACACACACACACACACACACACACAATTAGCTGAACTTTTTTTTTTTACTATCACTTTTTATCAATTTAACTTATCTTCTTTCAAAAAAAAAAAAATGCTGACCTCAAACGTTTGAACAGTAGTTTATATTGTTACAAAATACTTCTATTTTCAATAAATGTTGTTCTTTTTCACTTTTTATTCATCAAAGAGTCCTGACAAAATGTCATGTTCCAAAAAAAAATTATAAATAAAAACTAACACGGCTCAACTGTTTCCAACATTGATAATAAATCAACATATTCAACTGATTTCTGGAGGATCATGTGACACTGAAGATTGGAGCAATGATGCTACAAAATATAGCTTTGCATCACAGGAATAAATTATATTTTAAAGTATATTAAAATGAAAAACAGTTCTTTTAAATTGTAATAATATTTCACAATATTGCGATTTTTACTGTATTTTTCATCAAATAAATGCAGCCTTGGTGAGCATAAGAGACTTCTTTAAAGAACACATATTCACAAGGTACATCAACTTTTGTTTGTTCTACAGACATAAATAATATGCCATATTAAGTCGTAAAGCCTATTGATGACAGATGTGCTGTTATTAGCACACTTTGATACGTTTCATTATGATAGTTGTGTGTTAGGATTCACTTTTGTCTTTATATGGCATATAATTCTTGCAAGCGCGCTCTCTCTCTCTCTCTGTTATCTGTGAAACTGAAATTCAGGCCTGTGATGTGATTTCTTCCTAATATAGATTTTATTTCCAGGGGAACTCAAACTCGAGCATTATTTAGGTGTGTGATACCAAAACCCAGATCAGACAGAAGTGCTATATAAGTGTTGGGATGACAGAATCAGGTCGTGTGCATAGAGCAGTCATACAGACAGAACATCTCTCACTCTCTGAGTCGTTCTGAATCATATAATTGGTCAGAAACTTGTAAATAATTCACATCCAATGCAGTATATACAGCTAAGATTCATCACAAGCAACTATTTTAATTAGAGACAATTAATAGTAAGTTTCCAAATTTATATTGTGGCTATTCTTTGAAAGAATTCAAGATGATATAGCCATCCTGAGAAAAAATGAAGAGTGAAAGTCTAAGATTCTATATAAAAACACTAAGTATTGAAGCAGTTTTGTGTAAACAGTCTTTAATTGCAAAATGATATCACTTTTTTTCTGAACTTCGGCACTGTTTTAAAGAGCAGTTAAGCTTTGCCTTTGATATCAGCTGAATTCCCAGGCTAAAAAAATTTGCAGCCACAGACATTTTACCAAGTTTTATTTTCTTTTATATTGCATTTTTAAGGAATTTTGAGGATTATTTCTTAAGGCAGATTCCATAATGATTACAAAAACAATTTTGAGATAATTCTATTCATATTAAAGGCATTATAGAGACTAGGCTGAGAGATTGAAATCTGAATTAGCTGGCATGAGAAACACCCTGAGGGAGTTGGAGGCCACTGGCCCAGAAACCTTGTCTCCCTACAGCAGCTTTACCCTTTGACCTGAATGATCAGTCCATGAAACACAGCCGAAATACCATTCACCCAACCTGTCAGCTCTGCCGCTTTATATATCAGAGGAGAGAGTACAGGTTAAATCTGCGTCACTTTGTACCACTTCACCAGAGAGTAGAAAGAAACTATGAAAATCAGCAGAGGAAGGCCTGAAACAGAGGGTCCTGGCTTTAAGACCTTGACTTTTAAATAGCTTATGTTTTTTAATGACCATAATTAACGTGATATCAAGTGTTGCGCTGGATCTGAGCTGAGAGTGGTCAGATCTCAGGTGCAGATCTTTTCACTCTTCGCCTGAGATACCCTGAGCAAGAATTAGTTTTGAATTTATTACATTTGGGTTACATTTGTCTCATGATCTCAGAGTAAGAGAGCTCTTCAACAAAGGATTTAATATTTATAGCTGAATAATAAATAGCCTGTTCTGCTGTGTGATTCAGTCGGAACAAGTGATAATGTACAGTGAGCCAGTTATTATTACAATAGAGAATGATCAGAGCCCTGAGCAATACATATTTATAAAATGAATAAAAATACAGTACCTTTAAATGTTTGGGAAATTAGAAATTTGTTTTATTGAGCAAGGATGCATTAAATTGATCAAAGTTGTATTATTTTTAATGTTACAAAACATTTTTATTTCAAATAAATGCTGTTCTTTTAAACTTTATATCAATCAAAGAATCCTGAAAAATTGTATCACTGTTTCCACAAAAATAATAAGTAGCAAAACAGTTTTTAACAATAATAATAATCAGAAATGTTTCCTCAGCATCAAATCAGCTTATTATACTGATTTCTGAAGGATCATGTGACACTGAAGACTGGAGTAATGATGCTGAAAATTCAGCTTTGCATCACAGGAATAAATTACATTTAAAAACATATTCAAATAGAAAACACTTATTTTAAATTTCACAATATTACTGTTTTATTACTGGCTTAAAATTACTTCCACAGCCTTCAGCCTACACATGGCAACCAGGAGCAACAGATTCAAGGTTAATACAACATACTAATCAAGTCAGCTCTGCTCTGTAGTTGACATTTCCTCTGATGCAGTTGGTATTTCACAACTCCTTCAGTGTAATAGAAGCTGATTGGAGGTCTGAACCACTTTGCCCTGCACAGCAGATATGTGTCTCACCTGCGCTGTGGCATTCAGCCATTCAGCCCATACCCACACTATCACAGCCTCTCACGGGCCTCATAGACTCTCATTTAGGCATATAAGTTTTTTTCAGTATCTATTTCTCTCTCTCCCTCTCTCTCTCTCTCTCTCTAGTTCATATGCAAACACACAGCATTCGTTTTTTTTTTC